AAATAAATAAATAAATAAATACTGGATTCAATATTAAACACGTGTTCTGATTGTACAAAATAAATAGTCAATAAATGAAAAGTCCCCCTTTAAGGCATGCGGATCACTAGCGGGTATTTATAGAACACAGCATGAATTTCTCAGGGTAATCGATATCGACATGTAATTACTGTACTCTATCCTTACATCATGTCTCAACGTGTAAGTAACAACATTTACATATCATTGACCCTATGCTATGTATGTCTGGGTGTGCACACCATTAGAATTTAAGAAATAGGGAAACGTAATCAATGATACAGTAACTCCGGGTAATTCTGTATAACTATGTAAACAATACTCCCTAACTCGTAATAGCGTAATGTCGTTATGAGCAATGATCTCATCTAAATTGTATGTGTGTTAGAGCTCAAACTTAATTTTAATTGGTTGAATATATATATCTATCGAAACAGGCATAACCCTGCTTACTACTTTTTAAAAAAAATAGAATACGATTTAGACAATGATCCACGTTGAGCTGAATATATAAATACCTTAATTAGAGTAACCGTACAGAGCGGTAAAATATATTTGGAAAAAAAATAACAAAATTAATTACAAACATTATAAACTTTGTTATTTGAGTGCAGCTTTCAGGAACACATTTCAGGAACAAAGCATTATGTCACCCTAGATCAACTTGCAACAATGTGAGATATGCCGGGATGATTTTGTCATAGAAACAATCGTACACATATGATGCTGATTGATCACAGCATCAATATTCCAGAAGACATATAATTTTGGATATTTTCACGTATGAATTTTGAATATTTCCATGACATTTTGGATATTTTCATCCATGAGTAGGCGTCTGCATCAATATGAAATGATCAGCACGTGGGTGTAGATTCCGCACCATAGTAATTTTAATTTTATTATTGTATAAACCATATATACACCTTTGGCATACATCTTCATTGACAGAGATAATGGAGACAGATAACCGTTAAGAGAAACCGTATGACAATTCTCCTAGATTAAGGTCTGCAGGCACGGGTTATTAACTCATTGTCGCCATGTGCACATCTGAGCCTCAAGAGCCGGTTTACAATACCATGTTGCTAATGATGTCTGACTAATGGTGTCAATCGTATGACACTAAGTCCTACAAGGTTTAAAATTTCCGACAGACTACTAACAAATCAATCAAAAATTTCGGAAACCGAACTGCACACAGTTCCATGTAACATTCTACCTGTAGCAATTAAACGTTGCTATAGACACTGATAGCAGACAGGAACAACATGTCAGATAACATTATTTTAAATTGTTCGTACATTTTGCAAGCTCCAACGAATGGAACGTTCTGTACAAGTTAGGTATTTTTTTTATAAATGTGACTCATGATGTTAGAAATATGGCGCCAGTGGCATGGTTTATGAAAACTCTTATAAATAGATATTATATATATTCAATATGCATTCAGTACTTCCACTATGACCTAGGGTAGTCTATGGTTCAACAAATATTATTGATTAGCGACATCAATCACTTTGAACATTTATATTACGTGGTTATATTACCAATTCCCCATACAAACAGATTATGCTAATGTTAGTAATGTCATACACGGCATTCATGTTTCTGATGTTTTTGTCATATTTTGGTGAATTGCCTGTGAAATTTTGCAATTAATTAGTAATATATAGGGACAGATTTTTGGGATACTCTTTATCGTTTCAGCAAGATTAGAATTGACGCTTGATGAAAAAGTAACCCGTGAATGTATTACCGTTCAAAATGTTACAATAAGACACGACGGAAGTTGATACACTGACTAACGGGTGTATATTGTCATCATATGCAATTGACCCTCAGTATTCAAATTAACTTTTCTTATATACTAGTATATACCTTCCACGATATACAGCTAGATAATTAAAACTTTCACTTGAGCATGGCTGTGAAAAATACACAATTAAATCTGCAGTGATTCATGACTTGCATAAACGAAAAAAAATAAAAAATATCAGTTTTCTAATTGACAATTGGGACAATTGTTTTGGACACTGAGATAATTGAACAGAGACCACAATATAAGACTTATTGCGAAATATATTATTCATGCATACAGAATAATTTAACATACTTAATCACAATAAAAACAATATATATATATATATATATATATATATATATATATATATATATATATATATATATATATATTGATATAATTACTTTGTATTTTTAAAGCTAATATATGATGGCGAGTTTTGCATTATAGTATATACCAATAATATTATCATAATATTAGCATCTGTGCGATGGCTTGTTAGAACTCTTTCAAAGGAAAAG